AACTTAAAAGTATATTCCTCTGCCTTGGTCTGGGTTTCCTTGTGTTTTAAAAGATGTAGGGCTCAGGGATAAATAGACGTAATGCTCAATAATTCTTCTACCTCAATGCTAATCTACATAGTTTTTGCATATTATATTCCAAAAGGTTCTGACTTCAAGGATATCCTGAAAAAAAGAAAATGAAGGTACTAATGCAACAATTGCATTCAAACTCTCTATTAAGGGCATTGCTTATAGAGGCAGTTTTTAGAGAAATGCAATTATAATCACAACACTGATGAAGAATGTCAGAAATTTTATAAAAAGGGCGACATTGCCCTTTGATGGGAAAAACAATTAGAGCTGGGTGAGGAAGCAATGCTCTACCTTAGAAGCCATTAAGCCATTTCCGAGCATTTTATTTGCCTCATGCTTATACTCTATGTCATTTGTTTGGATTTTCTTTAAAATATGTAGATTAAAATAAATTTGATTTTTAGGAAGTTATTTTGTATCTATAGAGTCATAGTTTTTCTCTTGAGATAAATAAAACCTGCTGGATTATTTCCAAACCAAAGATAGACCTAGTCTTTTCATCCCTAAAGCTTGCAAGGAGACAGGGGTGTTTGGAGAGGCATGTTTGGGTGAAGGTACCAATCTAGGAGAAGCTGATACAGAGATGATGGCTTTCATTTCTTACGCTGTTAGTGACAACTCAGTTTTTCAACGGAATCTTCTAGCTGGATATGACACCCAGAGACTCAAACACACACAGTTCGTTGAAATTGGGATTTGGGAAACATATACTCACACAGCACCCAGAGGAATAATGCAACCAGCTGCTGAGACAACGCTTGGTGATTCGACTGTAGATCAGAAATAATTCCAAACAGGAGCAGTAGGGAGGATGGGCAAAGGATGGCATGATGACTACTGCATTGGAACCATGGCCAGAATGGCAGGTTGGAGCAGCAACACACCACATTTTGCCAATGAAATCACCAACTTGATGTTCAGCTGGCCTGATTGCCGAAGAGATTGATTGCATTATTCATTTCTCATCACAAGATTTTTAGGACACTCAAGGATCCATAGAGAAACAACAACAACCAAAAAACTCCAGTTATCAAGAGTTTAATTTATTCATCTATATTTTCAAAAGGGGCAGTCACAGAGAATAAACAGGACCTGAACAGAAAATGGGTTTTTAGTGAGACTGAGTTTGGAAGCCCTGGATTTTATAGAATTGGATGTCCCGGTCTTCATTGCTTGGTTTCTGTTTTTCATTTCTCCTGTCTACTTTTCCATCTTCTTAAAAACAAAACAAAACCCAGAACCAAAACCAAACAAAACCCTACTGCTTGTTAATTACCTATGAAATACTTCCATCTACTGGCCAAATGGAGGAGGTTCACCTCTTAACTTTTTTTGTTATATCTGTACCGTGATTTTTTAAGACAACCCTCCAAATATTTAGTAGACTAATTATGAATTATGAATTAGAAAATTAAAGAGGTTGATGCAATTCTCCACATTGCATTTAGCAATTCACCAAGTAAAACCCTCATGTATTTGATATACATATGGCCACACATATGCACTTTGCAAATAGCCAAAATGATCCATAACTGAATTACCAAAGAAAGCAAATCAGTGAGAAAAAGTAATGGGAGACTGGAGAGAGAAAGGGGAAGGAGTAATCTCTCTAGCACACCAGTTAGTACGTTTCTAATCAGATCACAGAGTAAAGAGGGCCTGGATTCTGAGATGGAATCAGAGACTGTGGCCAAATTCAACAGATTCCTCTGAAGAAAGCAGTTCCATGAGACCTGAGAAGAAATCCAAGTTAATTTATCAAATGGGACACCCCTTAAAAAAAACTCAGAATTGATGCTTCCTCATTCTTTTTTTCCAAAAGAATTCATCTGGGGAATGAGATCAGACACTGGAATATTAAAAAATAATTATAATATGTTAGAGACATAATCTGGGATTAAATAATCAAAGATTCTTGGTGTGTGTAAGCCAGTCAGAATCTCAAATACCAGTCCAGCCTCCTCACTTTACTGATGAGAAAATGAAGATTGGGGAGCATATGAAGCTCAGCCAAAGGCTTATATACTTCAGAAGTAAACGAACACATTTGAAGAAAAAAAAAGATAAAAACAAAACTCAAGATTTCCGTATGGATTTTAAATATGATTACATAGTTTATAATATCAGCCTCTCAAGAAATGATAGTTTCTAAAAATAAAATCACCAAAATAGTACAGACAGTCTATTGGATTAAAGGGCCCACCACAGTGGCTTGCTATGGTTTACCCATTTAGAATAAACAGAAGAAAAAAGTACAGTGCCTTTTCTATTTCTATAGATTATGGATCTAAACAGAATATGGATTAAATGATCTTCTTTCAAAAGTAAGCTTTCTCTAAAAGTGGTTAATAAACTATCTATCCTATTTCATGAAACTTGAGGAGTTAAAACCAAAAATGAAACACTAAGAAGGTGAAACATAAAAGACTTGGTGACTAAAATAGCTTCATGTAAACCCCTGGAGCAGCTCAGGCAATGCACTTTAAGTAACATTCCCAAAGTGATAGATACATCAAGTCAATAAGAAGATGTTTACCCCAGAAACCACTTACTGTGATGTGCTTTCACTATGATGTGAGTGCTCCGTGGAGGTAAAACCATCTTCATCCTTGACCTTAGACCTGGTGTGTCACTGACTAGCTGCATGAACTGGGGCCTTATATGCCCTCACCAGTGTTTGCCTGATGGGTGGATGTTCCTTGGGAGTAAGAATTAAAGGTCTGGTAATAGAAACAGAAGAAGGTAGGGTTATAGCATTACTTGTGACAGATGGATATAGGCCCTTAAAAGAGAACTTTACAATATGATTTATTACTTTCAGAAGCATTAAACATACACAAACATATACACACACATTCATGAGTGCTGCTATATACACTTAAAGATTGAAGTGCTTTCCTTCTTCAGGTATGGCACATTTCCTGAAGAAAGTAAATTTTAAAAATGAAACATATGTTCAATCTCATTATAAAGTATAATTTCCCAGAATATTTGAGTGCCCAGATGTAAGTTATGGAGATGTGTCTAAAGTAAAGCTATTTTTCTAACCAAACCATGGCTATATTAAAACATTCATCTGAAAAAAAAGAAATTTTCAATAGCATAGTGTTGTTTATTTCTTAGATCTAGTTTTAAAAGGGTAGCAGTGAAAGGCCACAACCACCACCCAGAAGTACCGGCCAGGAATGTAGGGTCAGTGGTGACACATCCTCACGCTCATCTCCATGTACAGATGTGCAGAGAGCTTCCATCCTGGCCACCTGCTTGCCCCACCCACCAGCACACTCACTGGATTAGCCTCCTCTCACTCTGGACCAGGGTATCCTCTGAGTGGTATTCAATCATTTAACTCCCTTCTTTAAAAATCCAAACTGAAACACAATGCCTTGCATGATCTGGTTCCCTTGATACACAGCCAGCCTTCTCCTGGATCACTGCTTTCCATCAACCACCCTCTTCAGAGTGCCATCTCTTTTCCACCTTTGCCTATGGTAGTCCCTCTGTCTAACAGTATGTCCCCAGCTTCTCCAGCCCACCAAGGGTCCTGCCCCTGGTTCCTTCTCATGCCTCAGACCTCATCTTCAGACATGACACAGCCTCTGGACTCTTCACGTAGGTCAGGTTCCTCCTTCCACTACATTTCCCCAAAAAACACTTCCCCCAATTTCTAACTGTAAATGTCTCCCTGGGTTAATTGTATTGCCCATCAAGGGATGAACTGTGTTTGTTTTGTTGACCATTGTGCCTCCAGTGCCTGGCACATAGTCGTTACTCAAAACACACACACACACACACACACACACACACACACACACACACACACACACGACAAAGATTCTGCTTATAGTAGGCACCCCAAAGAGTATATATTATTGTGGTGTCTTTAAACTCTTGAGTACAAGGAGAGTATAGTGAAGGGTAAAGTTGCTTCTAAGTCATCTATCTCCCATGTTCTGAACACTGAATTGCTACCAAGTCACAAACAGCAGTTTTTCCCTAGTCATCTACATCCCCCATGACAAAATAACTGTGGCAGCAGTTCTAGGAAATGTATTTCTCCTCTAGAAATATTCTTCTCCACAGAATGGAGTCATGGTGGATGGCAAAGGACAATAACATTTCTTCTAGGTCTCATCACCTCATGTCAGGTCGTCTTCACAACAACTGGGGGGACCTTCCACTCTGACATTCTGCCGGCCACTCATGTGCAATGAAAGGCATGATATTTCTTACACCCTTAAAACATCAGAGAAAACAAGAAGTTGCTCTCATCCTGAACTTTGCCTCTGCTGGACCAAAGGTTTTGTTGACAGGGATAAAAACAAGAAAGTGGAAGTTCCCAAGAAGAAGAGATAAAAGGAACAGAGCCCTGGGTTCAAATAGCAATTGACCAATGTTCACACTGGTAAAATTGCCCACTACAATACCTGTACTCTACACCATGCCTTTCTTATTGAAAAGATAAGCTAAAATCCTAAGCTGTCCTATCATCTGTCCTTCCAAGATTACTGAGAATGTGGCATTTGTTAAGATGAAGAACCAACTCACTGACACACAGATGGTTGGATGTCATTTCATGCAAAAAAAAGTTATCCTGAAATTGCTTGACTGCACAAACCAAATAGACAGCCCATTGACCATAGCGACAAAACATGTAACTTCCTCAAGGTCATTGAGAAAGTGAATAATAAAATCAGATCTAGAATTCACATCATCTGAAGACCCACGTTGTCGACCCCAGCTTTCTCCCTCTGTTCATTCATTAGCATCCTACGAGTCAGGATCTCAGTGGTTAGCCAACCCATGTCCTTAGAACCACTCATTGCATGGCACCCAGTGTTAAGACTCTAATACACTGAATTCTAATTCCTGGAATCATTACCATGTGATCATGACATCATAGAATTCTGACATTCAGTTTCCCTATGTTTCCAACCAAGCAACGAAATAATAATGGGGAAGAAATGGGAAAATTGTCCTGTACAACCGAGATCCAGGCTGCGTTTATTCTTTCTTCCTTAGTGACCTTCATAAGTGGACTCCTCATCTTATTCCTTTCCCGGCTACTCTGGAAGGGCATAAGGAAATGGAAAAACATCAAAGGAACAGGAATTCTCTTGGTCAGTTTCCTTATTTGGGATCCCACTGTATGAAGAGCAGAGACAGGTTTGACATGTGTTTGTGTTTAGGAAATAATTTAAGCTTCACTGAATTTTCACAGGCTAAGAGAGCCAGCTCTGAACTGGTGCCTTAGAAAAGGGCTGATCCCCTGGCCGCTATTCCAAGGGTCTCAGGTATAGAGCCAGCCTCCTATCTCACCACTTAGAGAAGAAATGTGTTGTATGGCTATATGGCTGGTGATGCATGTTAGCTCTTGAAACAGAGATTGCTTTTCTGACAGAAAAAATATACCCACAAACATTGTTTATTCCTCTGTTATGAATTTAAAAATGATAATTGTGCTATGTCCTATGAGGGAGGAAAAAGGAAAACCAAAGTCAATCTCACTTTCATAGATCCATCATTCATCCAGCATTCACATATGTACACTGCCTTTTGTATTCCACAAACACACTCATTTTCACAGAACTACACATGGACATCCATATATACACGCACATGACATCCAGCCTCAAATGCAGAGACCTTTTCATGCTGAACAAGTTTTGCAAGAATAGGTGCTATTGAATGACACCTGTTAAATTGATGATGATGGGAATAATGATGTATTACCCATATAAGACATTGCTTATATGCTACATAATGGCTATTCTTTTACCAATGGTCCAAAGCAAAGAGTTTTACTATGCCATGTGTGGCTTGTTTTGAAACAAACACTTTGTTTCTCTGATTATAGTAATTTCCCTAACAGAACACATTTCATCTGTGCAATATAATTAATATTGAAAGGTTGCTTAAAACATTTCTCTTAATGCTAAACATTGACACAAAATAACAGAATTTATAACTTGGTACTTAAAGTCATTGGCAATCTCATATTATAGAATTCAGGTTTCTGCATTGGAGAAGTACCCAATATTGAAGTTCATAGATTCTGTTGTTAAATAAGTTCATTCTATTACTAATTATTTCTAGATTAAAGACTTTAGGCAGTAACATAAAAATTGGGGAAATAGTTCTGGGGTACTGACTTCTTAACAATACTGACAGAGTACATGAATGGGTATGGTGGATCAGCCTTCTTTCCTATTTTCAATGCACAATTCAATTGGCAGAATTATTTAATCTTCTTAGACTCCTTCTGCTCTAGGAAATATATCTTCTTCCTCATTATATTCATTTACATGTGGTTACAAAAATGTGAGAACTCATTTGTCTGTAAATATTTGCTGTATTTGTTGCTTCTTTCTTTGGATGTAATTCTTGTCTACCCTTTGGTACAGAGGTATCTTTTATTTAAAATAGAAAGTAAATGTTACAAAAAGGTAAGAAATGAAGTCCAAGGAACCAGAATACTGCTCTTAAATCTTGAGGACTTTGATAAAAGTTGAGTGACTTCTCAATAATTTGTTATGTTAATATAAATTGAAGAGTGCGGTATTTTTACTCTAAGCTTTTGGGAAAGTTGGCCTATTGTAAAACATGCCACAAATATTGGTACTGACAAAAGTTCTTTTAAAATTATTTGGAGAGTCATAATTTTTCTCCTCAAATGTGCATTTTAAAAGGTTTTACTATATTAGTAAGTATGATTTTATTATATCTTAGGGCAATTTGTTTTCCCACAGAAGGCACCTCCAATTTTATAATGAAATTAAGATGAGTGTTCTATACTCATGTTATATTGAATATTTTTTAAATCAATTATCAAAAATCTCAGGAATGCTCATGATGACTCATAAGTATTAGGGGGCAAATCATTGATCGAGATATGAACTCTATCCAGTAGTCATTTACTGAGACTTCTCTTCTACCACTCAGAAAATATGAGTAGAACAATTAAGTCATTTCAAAACCCTGGCCCTACCCAAAGTGAACTTTTCTAAAAGTCAGAGGGTCCGGTCAGCATGCTGTTTCTTTCTCAGTGGTAATTCAAAACCATCAGCAGACACAGGGGCTAGTTTAGACCACACCCTTCCCTGATGGCCTGCTTGTGGGCAAGTCATTGAATTTCTCTATACCTCCACTTCCTTGCCAATATACAGTGGGTTTAACCATACTTTGTCTACATCATATGATAATTATAAATACCCTATTATAATAAATACAGACAATTTGCAAATGAGAGAAAGGATTATATTTTTAGCAAGATATACTAGATAAGGAACTAAAAGTAGCATCAAATTGCTAAAATTTCCTTCTTCTTTTTCTTTCAAAAAAGCAGATACTTAAGTAATCACCTAAAAATGAATTTGTAAGTGTTTTTCCCAGAGCAGAAAGAACATGGTGCTCCCAAACCTGATCATTACAATAATGTCAGTTTGAAAGGTTGGGACTAGGAGTGTGTGAGAAAAGCATGATGAAGATGTGCAATTCAGAGATAAAAACCTGTGCAGAAGATCAGTACAATGCAAACTCAATAAAGTTCATCTCTTGAAATACTGAATGAGTGACTTCAGGGTTCCCTGGTTTGGAATAGGTGGGGTAATTTCTGGCTGATACCACAGCATGGGGAATCTATAAACAGATTACTTTCTCCAAGATCCAGGTCACACTCGATTCCTTTTTGTCACTTATAGAAACTAATCTTGACAAGGAGCAGCCGTAATAAACATTTAAAAAGTCTCTACCTCCATGGAGTATTTCGTGATCGTATAGAAATGTTACTTTCAGCACAGACCATCGTGGGGCAAGTGTTGGTAAGTACATTTTCATTGTTTGCTAACAGACTTTAGCCACAAGCATGACTACAGTTGGTATATGCAATTTTATGACTCCAGCAAGCATATAGTGTTCCCTGATGGCCTTATCTAAAACATCACTACCTCTCAAAGCATCTCTGGGTCTCTCCTCTTTAGCCATTGTTTTGCTTATCTCTTCTTTGGTGTGAATATCATTACTTGGCATTACATTTTGGATTTATTGTCAGCTTGTCCGCCAGAAGAAAAGCTTTATTAGGGCAAAGGTTGTGCACATTTTGTCCTTCTATGGATGCCTGGCATATAGCAAATGTTCAAGAAATATTGATATTTAGTGGATTATCTGGCCTGAAATGTACAACTATTTTCTCATCCTTTGAATCCAATAGCCTCATTTCTTCCTTATACAAACTAGTCATTTTTTGCCCTTCCATAATATTTATCATTTTACTTTGTGTTTTAATATTAGTAATTTGGACATATTGCAACTCAGTCCGGTTTGCCATCTCCTTGCAAAATCTTACCTTATCTCCAGATTAGGCTAAGAATTTGTCTCTAAGGCTCTATAATATGCATTGAACACTGTTATTAAAATTATCTGTGCATATGTCTCTATCCCCAGAACACTGTGAGCTCCTTGAGAGAAAAGATTATGCCATGGAACTATTTATATCCCATTGTCTTGAAATACCAGGCTCTATAAATGCATATTGTGCTGATCATCATTTCAGTAGTATAGTTTGATCCAAAATATTAAAAACTGGGATCTGTAATTTGAGGGTATACTGCCATCAGATGGTGGTTTGATAGTAGTAGACATAAGTAAGCTAGAGTTTCTGCTGCTTTTTTATAATTGGTAAAAAGATTGCTCTTTTCTAATTAATGTCTAATTCAGATATAATTAACTTTTAAAACTTATTTGGAAGTACAGAAATAAAATTGCTTTGATAAAATCTGAAAGGAATGTAGGATCATCTGGGAAAATGTCTCTCCTTTTCTTTCTCAAGTTTTGGTCTCTCCGCGCCCCGTCTCCCCCCATCCTCAAATCCCTGTCAGTGTGATCTATTAGAGAAGGATTTTGTAATTCTTTCAGATCATAATAGGGATTTCTTGGTTAGGATCTCTTCAAATGTTCTAATCATGTTTGATGGTAAGATGATAATATCGGACATAATGTATGAAAGGTCACTGAGGTAAGAGACCTTATATAATCTAAGAATTTCTCCTTTTTATTTTTATAAGACCACCAGTGATATTGGATGAGTCTATCCTATGACCTTTGCTTAACTTGAATACATTTGCAAAGACCCTATTTCTAAAGGACTTCAACAAATATTTTTGGGAGAACATCATTCAACACATAACCATTATAATGATAAATGTAACAAACCTCAACCAAGATATGACATCACGAGTACCACTCACCAAAGATATAACTTAAAGATAATGAATAAATGGGAAATACAAGAAATAAAGAAGAAATATTAAAACACAAAGGTAGTAGGAACTTTTACTTCCATTATCTCATATCAGGAAATAGAATAATAATCATCATCAACATAAAGAAGACCATAGTAGCTTAATTAATAAGAGAGAGCTGATTGAAATGGTCAAACTCCACATGAGGAAAACAGAAATTAAACTTACCAGTGTCTATTGACTATTTATAAAAATTCAGCATATATTAGGCCACAAAAAATCCTAACATAAAACATACAAAGTATAGACAGACAACTTTAACTGAACAAAGTACAATAAATAGATAAGAAAATACCAAATAAAACCAGAAAAATTAAGAACCAAAAACAAAGACCTTACAGCTAAACTTTAAAAAATCTCTCTTTAATGATTCTTGACTCAGAGAAATAAATAAAAATAATAATTTTGGTATATTTAGAGCATAAAAATAATGAAAGCACCACATATCACTTGCACCTAAGGTATGAGATGAGAGTGGTTCTGGGTTAAGTGCATAACAATAAAAATTCATTTTGATAAATAAAAAATTAACAAATTAAGTTTCAATTTAAAAAAGGTAGAGAAATAAAACACACTAAATAAAAGCATAACAAATATAAAAAGAGTCAGAAAATAATGAATTATAAAACAGCTGATTATTTGAAACACAACAAAATAGAGAAATCAATAGCTAGTCTAAACAAGGAAAAGAGAGAAGTACAAAAATACATATGAAATAAGACATTAAAATAAGAAAATAAGTACAGGTATAAAGGACTTTGAAAGTTATGTTTGTAATTAAATTTGAAAACTGGATGATTCCTTAGGACAATATAAATTACCAAAAATGAACATGAAAGAAAGTAACTTAGATCAAATATTTGGAAGAAATAAAGATGTTGTCAAAGACCTACGTTAACATCACCACCACCACCCCTCCTCACCCTCCTCCTATGGGAGAGCTTGATGATTTCAAGGCCTAGTAAAAAAATATTCAATGATTGGATTTCTCTAATGATAATTCAACAGTGCCAGGACATCCTATATAATACTATATAATAAAGAGACAATATGCAAATTGACCATCACTCCAACACACAAGATGGCCACCCCCATGTGGACACAAGATAATTGCCACAAGATGGCCGGCAGGGGAGAGAAATTGTGGGCGATCAGGCCAGCAGGGGAGGGCAGCTGGGAGGGACCAGGCCTGCAGGGTAGGGCAGTTGGGGGGACCAGACCTGCAAGGGAGGGCAGTTGGAGGTGATCAGGCTGTCAGGGGAGCAGTTAGGCATTGATCAGGCTGGCAGGCAGGCGAGTGGTTAGGAGTCAGCAGTCCTGGATTGTGAGAGGGATTGGGGCTAAACAGGCAGTCGGACATCCCTCGAGGGGTCCCAGATTGGAGAGGGTACAGGCTGGGCTGAGGAACACCACCCCCTTCACACAAATTTTGTGCACTGGGCCTCTAGTAGAAAATAAAAGAAAGCAAACACCCACTTTTCTTTTACAATGAAAACATAGTCTCTACATCAAAACTTCCAAAGATAGCAAATCAAAAATCTCTACAGACTAATGTCCTTAATATGTTGGAGGAGGATTCATGGCTAACCACATAGTGGAAGAAAAAGAAAAGAAGGGGGAGAGGGGAACAGGAGGAGAAGCTGATGAAAAAATATAAAAAGAAAAAGAAGGAGGAAAAAAAAACAAATAGAAAGGAGGAGGTAGAAAATTCCAATTCCAATAATCAAAGGGAAAAAATATTATCTTCAAAACAGGATACCTTCTTAAAGTTCCTTCTAGAAATTAGAACATGGCAAAGTATCACTTGCCTCGGTTTGGGATACTTTCTGTTTAATTTAGTTCTAAATATAGTCCTAGTCTTAAACAATCTGTTCCTTTGGGTGGGGGTGGAGGGAGGATGCTGTTAATTGTGTAATTTACTATGTTTATTTGTTTCTCTGATCTCTAGATCATTTAGAACCAAAATTATGCTCATCTCTTTAAGAAGTGTATATTTTTAGCCTCATTCTAGGCATTACTTTATGTCCGCATTCTGCTTTTCTATATTCTCTGACTTCTATGTTTTGGGGGTATTCTGCCTTAACTCCTTCCTGTAGAAAAGTGCAATCTTTTCTGTGAATGTACAATCCTTTCTGTAGTTAAGTAAATGCGCCCTTGGCTAGAGCAACAGTTGTCATTCTCAGTATACAGAACAACTAAATGAGAAAAGACAGCATCACAATTCATCTGGGAATGAGAAAGAATATTTCAAAAATAATACTGGAAAATTGATTAAATAATTTATTTTGCTGGGTTTTGTTCATTTTTTTAATGTAATGATACTTCTAGAAAAAGAAAAATATAAAACACACTAGAAATGATCAATCTTCTCACACTTTAAATCCATTGTTTATGTTAAAAATTAAATTAAATTTAAAAACCTTTGCTACCACCTTGAAATGTATCTTCTTCTATATTTTTTCCATTTCCTTTCTTATTTCACATTTTATATTTATTATACCATCAAGCACCAGAAACTCATTTTGTTATGAAAACAGTATGACACTATGCTTTAGTTTAGAAATCTTAACCATAGAAATAAAGAAAACACTGGTAGCAAATACAGTATTCACACTTGATTATTTCTGGATGATTCCATTGTTTGTCTTTGTATGCACATGGTAAAATATTCAAAAAGTATCACAGGGTACATACTAAAAAATTAGTTTCTTCCTTACCTCTATCTCCATCCACTTTCATGAGTTTATTCCTTCAAACTTGTAGATTCTTAGCAACATTCTCAGGTATATTTTGTATAGGTGGTCTGGGCTGGCCTGATCTTTCGGCTTCTTCAGTTGAATTTGATTTACAAATTTTTTTTCCTTAGGTACTTCTTTGGCCATATGTCACAGACTTTGGCAAGTAATGTTCTTATTTTTATTAATGTCTAATTCATCTTTACATTGTTTTAAATTTAAATTTTTCTTGTTTGATTAATGGTCTATTGAGAGGAATGTGGTCTGCCTTTATTTTCTGTGGGATAGAGTGGCTGTCTTTTCTACTTTGGTAAAATTTATGGATATCACTGCTTTTATGGTATCTAGTTTATAGAATTTATGGGGAAATTGTTTGTTGACTGCTATATGATCAATTTCTATTACTACTTAATGGACTTTTGAAAGAATATGCGTAGTATCTGTTTGCTATATAAGCACTACTAATTATGTTATTTATGTTTTCCACATCCTTAATTATTTGGTGACTGATTGAAAGGAGGATGTCAAAAATTTTCCTTTACAGTTTTATCAAATAGCTTGCATTCTAATAGATTCTGAATTATATATTTTAAATAACAGCAATTACTGTGTAAAATTACCTAGTATATCTTCTTGACTTATTGTGCCTTTTATCAATATGAACTATCTATTTTTGTCACATTGTGTTCTGTGTGTGTGTGTGTGTGTGTGTGTGTGTGTGTTTTATTTTTGTTTGTTAGTTTTTGGCTGGAACATTTTAGAATACAATATTAGTATGTAACATTG